GTTCTTTTGAAAAAGGTACTAGTGTAATTGAAAAAAACATTTTACATGTTTTAGATATTTTGTTGTGTGAAAGTTTAGATCAAGCGTTTTTTAAGCATATTTCAAATGCTTCACATTTGTTGCCAAAAGTCAAAACTAAAATTTCATGCTATTCAACATCATCAATCCATCTCATTCGTGGTCATCCTTTGCTTTTTGTGTCCTCTGGTTTTGAAAATGTTAATCTCTTTGTGTATTTGTGATCTGACATCTTAGCAATGTGTCCAGCCCATCTATTTCAGAATTTCACAATATCTGGATCGGTATATAACTGATATAGTTCAAAGTTGTATCTTCGACGCCATAGCCCATTTTCATTTACGGAACCAAAAATTTTTCTAATAATTTTTCTCTCAAAAATACCAGTAAGTCTTTCATCATTTTGAGATAAGGTTTATGTTTCAGCTCCTTATACCAAATCCGGTCTTATTAAGGTCTCGTATATATTATGCTTTACTGCATGTTTTACATTTTATTTTTTAAATGTTTCTGGAGACAGTGAAGAGTTCTGTTTGCTATTGGTATGCGTCTTTTTATTTCGTTGCTTGTCGTGTTTGTTGCGTTTACTAGCGATACAAGATATGCAAATTCTTTGACTTGCTCAAAGGTATGGTTGTTAATTTGAATTCTCTGTTGGATATTTCGAGAGTTTTTAGAAACGAACATATATTTGGGTTTTCCTCGTTTACCACAAGTCCTAATTCACTTGCTGCGTCTGCAAGCTTTGTAAAATACTGCACCATGTCTCTCATACTTCTGCCCACTATAACTATATCGTCAGCGAATGCGAGAATTTGCGCCGATCCCCCTGTCTTAGACCATTATTAATGCCAAAGAATGTAGAGTTTTCTCCTTAAATTCTAACACATGAGCTTACATTTTGCGTTGTTAGTTGGGTCAACTTAACTAACTTAGGTGGGATCCCAAAGTCTATCATTGCATTATACAATGCACTTCTTTTCACACTGTCATATGCTGCTTTGAAGTCAATGAAGAGATGGTGTGTATCTATGTTATATTTTAGTGACTTTTCTAGAATCTGCATATGTGCTTGAATTTGATGTATAGTTGACTTTCCAGCAGTAAATCCGCATTGATATTGGCCAACAATATCCTTTGTAAAACGTTATAAGTCTTTCAAATAATACATTGCTGAACATTTTATACGCAGATGCTAACAGAGTAATGCCTCTATAGTTCTTACACTGCAGTTGATCACCCTTTTTATGCAACGGACATATTATTCCCTTCAGCTACTCTTCTGGTACCCATTCATTCTGCCATATAAGTACTTTTAGTTTATGGATTGCTGCAAAAAGTTGATCACCACCTTTTTTTTATATTTCCCTTATTTATTTAAAACTTGTATAAAATTTGAGTTTAGTTGCGGCAAAATACAAAAACTGCATACGAAAATTGAACTTTTTATGTTTAAAACGCATCTTGATTTTTGTCGATAGGTCATAAAGTCGAATCAAAAGATATCGAATTTTACCGTCGAGCTGATACAAATTTTATAGAACATTGATTTTGCGCGCCTAACTGTCATGCAAAATCGACGGTCACTTCAAGCGTTGTTTCTAAGATAACTTCATTCTAGACAAAAAATGCTTATAAACATTTTTGTTTAAAATTATCTCTTATTAATTACTATTTAACTGGGAATAAGCCACAATTTTAAAGATAAAAATACGTTTATTGACGTTTCAATTTCCACTTCGGAAATCGTTCTTTTTGAGAATATAAGCACTTTTAAAAACTATGAAGAGGTGATGGGTATGAATTCCATATTCATATGTCTTTTCTAAGGTTTATCTGAGGAGGAAAATCTGGTCAATTGTTGACCTTTCTTTTTGGAATCCACATTGGTGTTTGCCTATTTTTTCTTCAGTATATACTAGTAATTGATCATAAAGTATATAACCCAGTACTTTGTAAGCCGTATTTAGGAGGGTAATGCCTCGATAGTTGTCACATATTAGTGGATCCCCTTTCTTGTGAATAGGTATTATAATACCTACATTCCAACTGTCTTGCAGTTTTCCTATGAAGTTCTATTATCTATTTTTTTAGTATGTTTGCTCCATACTTGAACAGCTCAGGGGGTATACCATCTTCTCTAGTGGATTTGTTGTTTTTTAAACTTTTTATTGCCTTGGCAACTTCTTCTTCTGTTGGTATATTATTTTTATCGTTTATGTCTCCACTGTGGTCATTTATGTCAGTCACTTCTCTGTTGCCTATATTTAATTTCTCAGCAAAATTCTCCGTCCATCTCTTCACTATTTGATCCGGCTCATTGATAATTTCGGCTTCCTTATTTTTTATTATGATTATTCTAGGTTTAAACTCTTTTCTATTGTGGTAGACATTTTTATAAAATTTTCGCTCTTCGCTTTGTGAATTGAGCCTTTCTAGTTCCTGTAGCTGGTTTTCTAAATGTCGTTTTTTCTTTTGTTTTAGCATATTTTTCTCTGCTTGCCTCATCTGTTTGTAATCCTCTTGATTTTGTCTTGTCTTTCTGTTTTGCAGTTTCCCATACGCCTGATTTTTTTTTTGAGTTGCCTGTGCGCATTCCGCATCATACCATTCTGTCCCCTTCCTTTCTTGTTTCTTCTTTCCTACAACTGTTGTGGCTACTTTTAGGATATTTTCGCCATCGAGCAATAAGACAAAAGAGGGAATGTAACGGTAGAAGGGGTAAACATATTGATAGACAGGAAGTGCCATCTTGAGAGGCCACTTTAGACAAGGATAGAGAGTCTCTCTCCTTGTTTGACATCAAATTTAGTTGGGTTATGTTATTGTTTATCCCAAATGTCACATGAAATCTTATTTATATTGAAGTTTTTTAACAATTGTGTCGCATTTTAGACTCTTATCATTAATAATTAATTAAAACTTTATCGTCTAAAACACATTTTGAAAAATATTATATAGCTACTGTTGATAAGTGTCGAAAAATTTAAATTTGGCGCCTTTGCATTTCCGGATGTGTCCGCCATCAGAGGCCACTTTTTTGGTCTCCTTTTTATAACGATTAGATTCCCTCTTTTGTCTTATTGCTCGATGATTTTCGCACTCATTCCAGTAATTATCTATCTTTTCAACAGTACTACTCTTTTTTTCTTCTAGTTTTTCTTTAAGTTTGTGTTCAAATTTTCTAAGTATCTCAGGGTTTCATAGTCTGTCCACCTCGAATTTAGCTTTTGTGTTAGAGATTTGTGCCCTTAGTTTAGCCTGGACCAGGTAGTGATCGGAGTCAATGTTTGCTCCACGTCTGGTACGTACATTCATAACATCGCTGTAATGTCTTGCGTCCACAACTACATGGTCAATTTGATTGATTGTGTTACCGTCTAGGCTAACCCAAGTGCCTTTGTGTATATTTTTACGTTCGAAGCATGTGCTGGCTATCACCATATTCATTGAAGATTCACTAACTTGAAAACATCGTGTTTAGTGACAAAACCATCTTTTATTTAATGTGATATGCCAACAGGCAAATCATAATAATTTCAAGGATATAACTAAAGAACATCTTGACTATTTTTTTGTGGAGATAGCTGAAAAGTAAGTTATAAGATGAGAACTAACCAATAAATTTATTATAATCAAAGGATTTCTTTTTTATTGATCATTATGAACAATGCTGATCTATGCATAATCAACCTGTTCTGAAACCTAGTTACTCTTCTTCTAGTGTTTTTCTTTCATTTAGTTTTTTGCTAATATTCTTATTTAGCTTCATAGTGGTGTTTAGTAACTTTAATCCAACATAGGTACTGGGATATTGTTTCTTAAAAAACAATAACATTCTTTCTGTTCATTCATCAGGGATTTAGATTTTGCTTATATTTAGGTGTATCTACTATCGATTTCCTAATACACAGTAAATACTTGAAAAATTGCCTGTGAACTTACCCCAAAACAAAGAGTTCTGAGCACATCAGTCAGCTTTTGAAAAGAATACATATAGAACAATTACCGCATTAATTGAAAATTGTCTATAACATTAGAAAATCACAATACATCCCATAGACATTCTCATCTGATTGTGACTTTCTGTTTAACAAATAAGGTCTGTTTCATAGGTATCAGAACTTCTTCCTTTACTTCTCACACAATGTTACTATGCAGCGGAGACAAGGGCCAATATAAGAAAGGCGAAACAACAAATCAACAATATCGAAATGAAAGTATTAAGATCATTAGAGGGCATATAATTAAGAGACAGACAGACCAACAGAAGAATACGCGAACAATTCAAAATTCAAAATATTAACAGGTGGATAAAAACAAGAAAAAAAAACTGGAACAAACATGTCAACCAAATGGGACCAGATAGATAAGCGAACATCTGTAAAAACAACAAACCGTATAGCAGAAGACCTGTTGTAAGGCCGCCAAAAAGATGGAAAGATAATGTAGTCAACAACGACTGAAACATAATAAGAGGCGGACAAACAGGAGTAATCCTAGTCGCACGAAGAAGAAGAGGAAGAAGCTAATTTTAGTGACCAAAGTAAATACAAACACAAGTTTATATGGGAAATTTCTTTATTATTTTTAGACCACATGCGCCACATTCTGAAAATACAATTTTAAAAGTAGTTGTACTAATCAATGTACCTATAAGAACTAATTGTAATTAGATAATTTAAATAATATAATTACGAAGTACAATTCCTTCATAGGTTTTAATCCAATTACAATTTACTTCGAGAAAAAAGTACTTAAATATGATAACAATTACACAAAAAAGTAATTGTAATTATTAATTACTTTTAAGTAGGAATTACCTAGCTCTGGTAGCTTCCAGTGATGTAGGAAAGCTAGAGATTTAAAAATTACCTTATGGTAAACATAGTTATATCAAAATCATAATACTTACCAAACATTAGTTGAAAAATATGGAATTCTAAAGTTTCAATTATTATAAAACACTTCTTTGATTTTAGGTTTTAGAGCAAGTGCACCCTTCATTAGGTGCAAGAGAAGAAGCTTTAGAATATGTGGAAAGCCTATGCTTGCGTCTTCTTGGGATGCTGTGTGCCAAACCAAGTCCTCACACAGTTCAGGTAAAATTATGCCATGTTTTGTGTTCATTCGTGAATAAACCAAAGTGATATAAGTAATTGACTCTATTTATTATTTAAATGTTTTATTGAGATAATTTTAACTTTTTAAGAATTTTTAGGCCAGGAAAATTATTTATATTTCGGTTTTTGTTTGTTTAGGATGTTGAAGATCGGGTAACTAGTACTTTTCCCACACCAATTGATAAATGGGCACTAAAAGAAGCCCAAGAAGCACTTGAAAGAGGAAAGAAAAAGTCAGTATTACAGCTGCCTGTTGATAAAATTCATTCTTTATTGCAAAAAGTAAGTACACCATCTTTTTTTATGCAATATATTAGATTTTGGTACACAACTAAGCAGAAATTGACTTAAAAAAATCTGTGTTTTAGGAACTTTTGCTCTACAAAGTTGATTCCACAGTGTCTTTATTTCTGGTGGCAGTTTTAGAATACATCTCAGCTGATATTCTAAAATTGGTTGGGAACTATGCAAAGAACATAAAGCATGTAGAGATTACTTATCAAGATGTGCAGATATCTATGAAGGTAGACAAAGTAAGTGGAGCTTGTGTTCTTAAACATTGTTTTTTCTGATAGAATCTTAGAGGATAATCATATAAGGGAACATTTATTATTTAAAAACTGTGTTTGCTTCAATAACCAAAAATGTTGATAATTTTTTTTCTTGTTAAAGAATCTGTAGATCTTCAAAAATCAAAATGTCCACTCGACATAGGGCTTCTATTTCTTTTCTTAGCGCTGCAACCCTTTGTGAATTTTGGCTTAACAAAATTCTTCCATTCTACCTTGTCCGCTACTTTCCTTGTCCACTGCCTGATGTTCATAGTTTTAAGTTCCTATTCCACATCATCCAGCCATCTTTTACTGGGTGGGCCGTCCTCTTATTCTGTTTCCTTGAGGTTTCTTGATGGACAAGCCAATTTGGTATTTGTGACTCTACAAATCTAACAATGTCTATCGGCACAATCTGTAGGTCCAAATATTTTTCTTAGTATTTTATTCTCAAAGATTCAGGAATCCATGTTTCCATCCCTATGTGACTACTGCCCTAATAACTGTTTTTTATGATTCTTCTTCACTTCACAACTGACTCTCGATTCAGTAATTTGCTTTTAATTAAATATTTATGTGTATAAAAGTACTTGAACACTAAAAGCACTGTCATGTATTATTGAGCCCAGGTAGGGAAAACGGGAAGCACATTTATAGGTACGACTCTCTATGTTTAGGTTCTCATGTCTAGTAGATTTTGTGCACTCCATATATTTTGTTTTCCTTTTGTTAGTATTTAGGCTCAATCTACTAATTAGCTTCAATAACTAAATTCACTTCAGTTAATATGTACACTAAAAGAAAGTCACTACAGATGAAGTGTGAAAAAATTAAATCAGGAAGAATTGGGATAGATGTCTAAACAACGGAGATTCTTTATTTCTACATGTAGCAAATATATGTAACATTAATAGAGTAGTGGATCTTTGGTTAAACCATGTAAAACTGCAGGACCAGATGGTATATTTCCTGGGATACACTAAGAGGGACTGGAAATAATTTTGGTCCCCTTATCCAAAGAGCTAACCATGCTCTGGGGTACATTCGCAAAGCTTGAAGAGGAGTGAAGGTGACGTTTATTCCTAAACCGGGAAAAACTAATTACACCTTAGCAAAATCATAGAGGCCAATAAGTCTGACTTCATTCATGTCGAAAACCATCAAAAAAACCTTGAATGAATACATGAAGAAAAACAATCTTAATAAAAACCCACTGCACCAGCGGCATGGGAGTATCAAGCCGAGAAATCTAGTGAAAACACTCTGCACAATCTGGTGTCTGACCTCGAGAGGGGTTTATACCAGAAATAAGTCACACTTGCTGCATTTTTAGACATCAAAGGTGCATTTGATAATACCTCTACCGAGTCAAACAAAATGCACTGATGCGGATAAAAATCAACAACACAACATGTAAGTGGATAATTTAGATGCTTCTGATTAGAATAATACCCGCAGATAAATATGAAGGTGACATAAACCAGGGGGCAACTAAGGGATGCTATCATTGTAAAATATCGTCTTTAACTATCTTTTCAAGACTTTAGCAGCCAAGGAATATGGGTCCAAGATTACTCAAATGACATTCTTATAGTGACATAGTGGAAAATTTCCCAGTATTGTTGCTAATCAGATGCGATATGTCCTTCATTATATACAGAATTATTGTCTGAAAGAGAAACTCTCTGTGAATCCTTCTAAAACTAAACTAGTAGTCTTTTCTAATAAGAGGAACCTTACTGGACTGAGTGAGCGAAATTATTTGGGGAGGCACGAGAAAGAACTAATGAGGTCAAGTATCGAGGAGTAACCCTGAATTCCAAATTCAATTGAAGTACTCATATTAACAACGTAATATCAGAGCTACGCAACTCTTCTGGAACTGCAGACGAGTTGTTGGTAAAACCTGGGGGTTGAAACCAAAGGTAATCTGTTGGTTATACACGTCAGTACCACACTTCGGTGGAAAAAGCGGCTTTGACCTCTCTCCACCACACTACAAAGACAAGTGCTTCTAAATATGACAGGAGCTTTGAATAGTACAGAAAAGACATCTTTAGAGACTATCACAGATCTGTAATTATATATATCGGCGGTAGCCTTTATGACCATCCTGAAACAATAATTGGAGACTGGATTATGTATTGAATAGTCACAAAAATACCACTGGGGCTATACTTAAGGAATATATCTTTCAGATGAACTCCGATATGATGACACCACAACTAATCTTCACTGAGAAGGTTAACACAATTATTATAACATCCAGAGAACAAGAAGTCCTAAACATTAATGGGGACTTAATATGGTTCGCTGATGGATCTGATTCTATCTATGGTTCTAGTTTCAGAGAATTTGTTGAAACATGTAATTATAAGAAAAGAAGAAATCCTTAAACTACCAATGAAGAAACTGGTAGCCTTTATTTAGGAGCAAGGACTTATTGGAGTTTAATGAAATAAAAAATAGGGTATAGTACAGGCGTGTTGTGACCAAGTACCAGAGGTTAACTTGTTTCTCCTTAACTAAGAAGAACCATAGGGTACTAGTACAGATATACTATCATTCAAAATTTTAGAGACTTGAGCTGATTGAGTTGTTTTTCGATTATTTTTGGCAGTGGACAAACAACATGAAGTATACGCTTCACAATTGACAGATGAAATCTCGACTGTCATATTAAAGGGTATGCGTTCTTTGCAATGTTATAGATTATAGAGAATAGCAATCGCAGATGTATTTTCTTGTTATATAACGATTTATTTATTTCTGAGTTGTAATATTGGTTATGTCACCGATGTGTTTAATGCCTACACTTAACCAGTTTTTGAAATAGCGTTAAATAATCGCCGCGAATGTTTTAAGATCGGTGGTGAAATTATTAATAACATCAGATACGCCGATGACACCGCAATAATGGCAGAGAGTCTAGAAGATCTTCAAACCCTGTTAAATGCTGTAAAAAACGAATGCACTGAAAAGGGCTTAACAATCAACGCAAAAAAAAACAAAATCGATGGTGGTCGGAAAAATTAATATCGAAGACTCAGTACTAAGATTAGATAACAAAATCCTGGAAAGGTTGGAACATTTTAGATATCTGGGTAGCTGGATTGACTGCAGGGTTGAAAGTAACGAGGAAATTTCGACCAGAATAGAACTCGCACGGAAAAACTTTATTAACTGGCGTTTGTATTATGCAGTAGAAGTCTGTCGTTGACCACACCTCTAAGAGTATTGAAGTGCTACATCTGGTCCACTTTGTTCTATGGATGTAAAACCTGAACAACAAAAATAAAAAATCTTAACAAATTAGAAGCGTTTGAGTTATGGTGTTACCGTTGCATGCTCAGAATCCCTTGGACAGCACACATATCTGTGTGCTGTCCAAGGCACACGTGTGCTAGAGACCGTGCACAAAGAGCGAGCATTGATCAACATCATCAAAATGAGAAAGGTCCAATACTTCGGTCATATAATGGAGACGCTAAATATCGCTTACTCCGGTTAATCATTCAAGGCAAAATCGAAGGAAAACGTTGGGTCTGAAGAAAACAACTGTCCTGGCTGCGTAACATTAGACAATGGACAGGTCGAACGGTCGAGGAACTGTTTCATCTAGCTGCCGACCGAGAATCATTTCATCAGCTTGTCAATATGACGATAGCCAACGCTTAAATACAAGCACGGCACACAAATAAGAAGAAGAATATCGGTTAGGCTACAGTTAAGTGCTCTAAAAAGCGTTTGTAGTAAAAATAAAAGTAAAAAAATAAACTGCAAGTTTATTATGATAAAGATAATAGAAAGAGTTTAGGCAGCTGAGACAAGACGAAACAAATACTGAAAAAAAAAAGAAGAATGGGCATATAAACACCTAACTGAAAGATCTAGAGAAGTGTAACACAAATGGAAACGCGGAAATTATGCAAAGTTAGCCAGAATAGAAAGTAATTCAGAACTAGATTATTAATAGTTAGAAAGAGAACAGGATAGACCATTGGTGACCAAGACCAGATAGTAGAAAGATAGGCAGAAACTTTTAAGGAGAGACTAAATATAAGAAGTGAGATGAGGTTGCAAGAAGCAGAAATCCAGCATGGATGGAAGATGAAAAAAAGAAAGATAGCATCCCAACAGAGGAAGAAGTCATCAATCAAAGCAATACAAAAATTGAAAAAAAAAACAGAACTCCGGGAGGAGTTTGCATTCTTTCTGAGCTTTTAAAACATGGCTCAAAAAATCTGACATGTTCTATAAGTAGGCTAGTAGAATTTATTTAGAAGCAGGTGAAACTACCAGAAGACTGGAACGTAAATATAATTGTACCTTTTTACAAGAAAGGAGATCAAACAGTTTGTGATAATTACAGAGGAATTACCCTCCTAAACGTGACCTACAAAATATTGCCTATATTCTTTACGATCCTATTCTTATCCTATTATATTCCTATTGTGAAAACATAATAGGAAAATACCAATATGGTTTTCCAAAGGAAAAATCAACTCTCTATCACATATCCCTTTTAAGACAAGCTTTGGAAAAAACATGAGTATGGAATTATTACTCACAATTTGTTTGTGGATTTTAGATGTGCATATGACAGTGTAGACAGAAACGCACTATACACAGCCATGGCATAATTCAATATCCCCATACCTTTACTAAGTAACCCTCTTAACAGTCAAGTGTAATTTTAGAGTGCAGAATGGAGTATCAAGACGTAGATAGTACTTCGACAGGTAGCTAGCCTATCATGCATTCTATTCAACATAGCCCTAGGGAAAGCTATGTAGATGACATCGATATCATAGCAAGAAGAAATGCGGACCTGGTCCAATCGTTCACGACATTGGAAGCAGCACCGCAAAAAGAATGGGGCTAAACGGTCTTATTTTTTTCTTCCTCTTTATAAGCAATTCTGCTTGTTCATTGGTGGATTAATACCTCTATGGAAGGTTCTCACTCCATCTTTTGCGCGG